TGGGGGGGGGGGGGGGAACCTATTTAAACCACTTATAAGGTGTCCCATTTAAAATTTGGATTCCAAAAAAATTTGTATTAATTTCATCAAAAATTGGGATTAGGTATAGGAATAAAATGGTCTTTTGAAAGTTTAAGAAATATTAGGGTAATTTTCATTGTATCCTTTTTGTTTTAACTAGGAAAATATATGAAACGTTAAAAGAATTATGTTAAAAAATACGAAAAGTTGGCATTTAAATTTATGTGATAATAACAAATTTTCTTTTACATCTACCCCTGAACATTTTATGCATTACGTCATTATTAATTATTTAGCTTTCTTGTAAATGTGTATTTACTTGCACACGCAATATCGATTCACTTCCTGCTATTTTTAACCTTTTAGCTTTGACAAATGGTTATTAAGTACATGATTGATTTGTANATTATTTGTTTTCTTCAAGGGGAGGGGGCCGGCTCTGCACCTGTTGGGACCTGCACAACCCCTGAAAATCATAGATTTTACTGATTCAGGAGGGGGGCTTAGCCCCCATGGCCCCCCCTGAATACGCCCCTGCTGATGATCTAAACCTCTTATATTTGTCTAAATGATTGTAAGGATAAAATTATTATTAAATTACTATAAAACACTTGATTTTTTAAGCGAACAGAAGAAGAAATGAAAATATATTTGTTTACTTCAAAACCAGTTTTTTAAGTTTTGGCAGAAAAAATAAAGTTCTTAAACAAAGATTAAAAATGCTTTTTATTTTTAGGATTAAACGCCCATGCCGCCGCTAGTTTACAGGCTCAGTTGGCGGCTGCTTACGGATCCGCCCTCCCCTCCTCGTTATCCTCACTCCCCTCCTCCCTCTCTTCCACCCTATCCTCCCTGGGCTCTATGTCTGGGGGCGGGATGCTCCCTCCTGGGCTTACTGCTCAAACTCTTCTACAGTACCAGCTTGCTTCCTCCCTAGGTTAATATTACATCATTATACATATATAAATTTAGCTTGGTTGTCTGTTTGTTATTTATTTATTTTTTATACTGTACAAAGAGAAGATGCTCGCAGATAAACCCACAAAAAGTCTAGTACATATTTATATACTCTGCTTGTCTGTCTGTTCGTTTGTTTGTATCCATTAAAAATAAACACAGCCAAATTATCAAGCCCAACATTTTTGAGGCAACATGACCCCAGAGATGGTTTATACGTTATGGATGAATAGAAATTAAATAAAAAATAAAAAAATTTGCCTTAAAATTTTTTTCAGTTTTCAAAATCCACGTAAATAACTCGTTAAAAGAGCAACAAGTAAAATTTAAAATAGAAGATGGGCGGGCTGGATGTCTAGTTTTATTTTAATTGACAAAATTTTATCTAAAGGGAATGTCGAGGTAATTTCAAGTAATTGAAAGTTTCGAAATCGTTCGCTCCCTAAATTAAAAACTTGCGTTTAAATGTTCAATCGTAGGGTAACTTGAAATTTTGTCCTCATACATCACTAAAATACTTATTTGCTACCAACTATCCAATGCTGAAAATTAATCATCAAAGATTTTTCATTTTTCTTTAATAAACTATTTCATATCTAGGAATATATGTTTAGTTCTAGAAATTAGATATTATACAACCTTGCAATAAATATTGATGAGCTGGATCTGAATCCAGATTCAGTTTTTTCAAGACTGATCCGGATCCGGACCATTATCAAAATTAATATTTATGAAAATCTATCTTATCTATTTATCTACATACCTATCAATCTATATATCTTTAATCCATCTATCTAAAATATATCTATCTAAAGTCTACCTTTCTATCTATAATCTATCTATTTATAATCGTATCTATCTAGGATATGGGTCTGGACTACTGGGATCTCCAGGATCTGAACTATTGATGCAGAGAGAACGACAAATAGCTCAGGATAGAGATAGACAACTCAGGTAGATTAATTTAGGATTATTAAAGGGACTGTGAACAACTAAAGTAGATTAATTTGGGCTTAAANTCTGAAGGCTTAGCTTGAACTACGTAGATCAATTCTATTATCTAGTCTGAAGGCTTAGCTTGAACTACGTAGATCAATTCTATTATCTAGTCTGATATTCTGACCTTGAAATCTTATTTTTAGTTTAACATAGAATTTTTTTCTTCAGCTGTAACTTTGTTTGCATTCGATCTTGACGTATTAGGATAGTTTGGAACAAGCTGCATTTTTAAAAACAATTGTTTAATAGCAATTCCCTTTCTTAACAATCTCTTTGTCTTATTAAAAAAAAACTTAGCTCTGGTATTTTAATACTCCTTGGGTTGGTTTCAACTTTTTTTTAGTTTTCAAGTTGTGTTCTAATACGTAAGAAATCCGATTAGCACCCAGTTGACTTTTTATTATCAACTTTATGTTTACTTGTTGAAAAGGATTTCTGATAAGTGGGGGCTTAAATGCATAATTGAAATACACTCTAAAAATTGCAGATTGAAATTTTAGTTAAAAAATAATGAAGCTTTTATGAATAGTTAAAAGTTTATTACAAAAATTAGGCATTCTGAGAAATCTATAAGATTCCCTGAAAAAAATAATAATGATCTCCCATCAATAAAGTTTTTGTTGTTTTTCTTCTGAACTGTCAAGAAAGGACGCAGCCTTAATATGTATGCAATAATGCGTAGTTAGAATTAAAACCTGTTTTTAAACACCTGCAAATTTAGCAACCCGCTTTAGTGCTACAGTTTGCAAAGCTGTTCATCCAGTTCAAATTTCTTCGGGCCATTTTTTAGTTTAAAACGGGATTTTAACTGCTGACACTAGGTGTATTTTTTTCAAAATCAAAAAATAAAATTTCTGATTTTTAGGGGGGGGGGGGGTATTTTTCGTATTTTGCACCGAACACATAAAATCAGTATTAAGATACATTCCGTCCCTCCAAATAATTTTCCTAAAAGCTTTGTTAGTTGGAAAGAACAAAAAAGTTTGATAAATCTCGCTAACTAATGAATATATGTTTCTTCCACAAGAAATAAAACATAGTTTTCTTAAGAAAAGATTATCCTCTCTTAATCATTATATAGAGTTCTCGACGAAGTAAAAAAAATAAAAATAAAAATTATTTTATTTTTAACAAATTTGAAATAATTTTTTTTCCCTCCAGTTATAGGAAATAAATACCAAATTAATGAAAACCCTTTTTAATTAGAAATTACGTGGATTTTATGTAGAAACTTAATCCAAAAATATCCACGTTCGATAAAAATCGAGGTTGAGAGAGAGAGAGAGAGATAGAGATTAAGTTAGAATGTAATAAACTACGGAGAAGGGGTTTACACCAAGGGGGGTGGGGTTTACCTGTATTTCACCACACTCCAACAGATTGTTGAAAATAATCGATACTTCCTGCACCCCCCCCCCCCTCCTCCCCACCACTTACACCTTTCTAACGGTTTAACCAATATACCTCACTTGAACTATACAGGGTCAAATACAGTTCTGTTTAACAATGTGCACTGTGTAGTAGAGATGTCAACGATAGTGCAACGTAACGTAAAATGTACGTATTTGTACGTTACGTTACAATAATATGAAACGTTAGGGTATATTCTATGTAACGTGAACGTTGGACGTTAACGTTATATGAGTTTATATCTTTGTGTTTATATCATTTGTGTATATACATAGCTTGTCTGTTTGTTTGTTTGTGTCCAATAAACGATCTAAAACGGCAGAACTGATCTTTTGTGTGGGACCTCACATGACCCCATGGAAGGTTTATGGATGATCAAACTCTCAAAATACTTTTTAATCGTATTTTTATTTTTTTTGAGAATTGATAAGTTTGAAAAAAACATTTTAAAAATTAAAATAATATATTTTCTTTGTTTGACGTTCATGGATTTATGGAGCTCTAAAAACAAAGAGAAATAAAACTGCGTCGTTAAACATAATTTTGTTTTATGAAAGATTATTTGGTATTAAATGACATCAACAGTATGTTATTGATTTTTAAGAGAGAGCTTTCTAATTTTATTCTGTCATCTGTGTTCAGAATTAATAGATAAATCGGTTGCATAATGTCGCAATTATATATTATTTCAGACCAATAACAAAACCTTTAAACAGTGCAAACATTTAATGATATATAATGAAAATCCTCCAACTTTTATTGAAGAATGAATTTAAGAGGTAGTCAGCGTCTAAAGGTTAAACTGTCTAGGGGGATTGAAACTTTAAAAAATGGAAAATAGAAGTATCAAAAGTTTTAGCCTTTGGAAGTATAAATATCCCTGTTCATATTGCCACACACGCACACACATACACACGAACACACACAGTATTCCACGCTTTAGATTAGTCAGGACAGCAGGCAGCTGCCTGCTCAGTGCTCAGTTGTTCTTAGACTGCCCTACCTTAACATACCACTACGCACTTATCACGTATTATTGCGTCATAAACAATAATGTACATAATTGAACTAATGCGTATTTGCAGCATTACTGATCTAAAAAAATAAAATTGTTGGTGAAAAAGGTGAAAAGTAAGATTAAACCTGAAAGAACTGGATTACATTATGAAACCTGCTAAACCTGTAATAAATCAGTAGTTACAACCTCACTATATCCTGTTGTAACTGCCCTCCTTTAACAGATAGTTACATAGATAGATACTTCTATCTATATAGATGGATAGATAGATAGATAGATAGATAGATAGATAGATCATGTGATGTTTAGACTAGAAACTAGAATACTGCTTTCGCAGTATCTTGTGTTCTATTTCTGAGTAAATACGGGGATAGTGAGATAGATAGTTAATAAGTGAACTGGCTGTAATCCACCACTAGCACCTGCATACTGCCTAAAACAGGATTTAAACATGCTTGGCCTGGAATTACTAGTAAATGCAATCAGAATAAAAGAAATGTAAGTTTAAAGTAAAAAGTTTAAAATTAACTATGTACCACGTACTAACTTGTACCCATTTTGTCAAGTACTATCTAATGGTGTACCCACTTTTCAAAGTACAAACTAGCGTTTAATCATGGTGCCGAGTACAAACTAGCCTGTACTTGTGTGCGTACAAAATAACCCTGTGTGTTTAAAAAACAGATTGTGTGCCTAAGATATGAGGAAGAACTAAGCGTTTTTTTCATGGGTAAAAGTGCGTAAACATACGTGTACTTATTTTTAAAGTACAAGAAAATTATGTACTCATGGTTAAAATTACAAGAAAATTTAATACTCATGGGTTCAAGTGCAAGAAAACTGTATTCATGGTTAAAAGTTCAAGAAAATTGTGGACTATTGGTAAAAGTTTAAAAAGTTTTGTACTATTGGTTTAAAGTACAAGAAAATTGTGCGCTCATGGTTACAAGTACAAGAAAATTGTGTACTCAGTTAAAATTACATGAAAATTGTGTACTCATGGTTAAAAGTACAAGAAAAGTGTGTACTATTGGTTAGCGTACAGTAAATTGTGTACTCAGTACGTAAATAGTTCGTGAGTATATTTCACGCATCCGCGCTTACACGTTTCACTCGCATGTGCTTTACTCAAGAACTTTTAGATTCGAGAGGGGGGGGGGACAGGGCCTGGGGCCTTGATAGGTATTTCTGCATTCATATTCTCGTTAAAATGAGACAACTAAACTAGCTATCTGAAATTACTAAGGACATTTTTTTATTTTGTTTGTTTTTATTAAAAAATATTATTTTTGTTTCTTCTTTATCCAGATTTTAAGAAACCCAGCAAAACTATTTAATAAAAATTCCGCGAGTTATTTATTGGACTAATTGATAAAGTAATTAACCTGTTTTTAGTAATTGATATATCTTCTAGGGAGAAAAGAGAGCAAGAGCACAGGGAAAGAGAAAGACTGGAGAAAGAAAGACAGGAACGAGAGAGAAGAGAAAGAGAAGAAAGAGAAAGAAGGGAAAGAGAGGAGAAGGATCGACAGATTGCGGAGGAGGACGTAAACAGACATTTTCAACTTTCAATGGAGATGGTTCGAAAGGTAAATATTTCAACCAAAAATATTTCAGATTAATCATTTCAAGGTTTCATCCTTTCTCTTAGCCCTTTTTCTATTTCACACATCTTATCCTTTTTATGTTAAACTGTTTCCTTTCTCCTGAGCTCATATCTTTCTCCTCAACCAAATCCTTTCTCTTCAACCTTTTCCTTTCTCTTCAACCTTTTCCTTTCTCCTCAACCTTACCCTTTCTCCTCAACCTTTTCCTATATCCTCAACCTTACCCTTTCTCCTCAATCTTTTCCTTTCTCCTCAACCTTACCCTTTCTCCTCAACCTTTTCCTATATCCTCAACCTTACCCTTTCTCCTCAATATTTTCCTTTCTCCTCAACCTTTTCCTTTCTCCTCAACCTTACCCTTTCTCATCAACCTTATCCTTTCTCCTCAACCTTTTCCTTTCATCTCAACCTTTTCCTTTCTCCTCAACCTTTTCCTTTCCCCTCAACCTTATCCTTTCTCCTCAATATTATCCTTTCTCCTCAACCTTATAATTTCTGCTCAACCTTATCCTTTCTCCTCAACCTTATNCCCTCACCTCATGGAGGTCCTTCACCACATCATACAGTTCCATCTGCTCATCATAGAGGACCCTCACCTCATGGAGGTCCTTCACCACATCATACAGTTCCATCTGCTCATCATAGAGGACCCTCACCTCATGGGGGTCCATCTCCACACCATGGTGGACCATCTCCTCATCATAGTGGACCACCTGCTCATCATAGAGGACCCTATAGAGTGGACTGTCTGATTCACTACGACGGTACCCTTGAAGCTTTGTAAGACCAAGAATGATTACAAATGAATGAATTCAATGTTTTCAACTTTAAAGATTGATTATTTTTAATTATGGTTTTTTCATTTTTCATTTTGGATCAGGGTTATTTCCTTCAAATGGAGGGTCACTTGAAATTACACCTTCAGTTCCTATTAAATGGTAATGGTCTTCTACATTTTCTTACTAAACAAATTCTTCCTGGGCTTTGGTGTTTTACAAGTTCGGATAGATAGAAATCCAATTATATTACATATATATAATAATTATTACAAATAGACTAATAATCTTATGTAACAATGTATAAAGAAATGAAAAAATGTGCTCATATGATTTGGGTCTCTTTAGAAAACTTTAATGTTCTCATAATTCATGCAAATATAAGTATCAAAATATGAAAAAAAAATCAGAAAAAGAATAAAAAATACATGAAACTTACAATATTTGTTATCTCTGAACATTTTGTTGCTAAAGGGGAGTGATACCCCNTTCTCTTTTTATACATTGTAAAACAAAAACAAAAAATGCATAACATTTATATAATACTTACATAATTCACATAATAGATAATAACATATTACCAAGTGAAGTTAATAAAAACAAAGATGTGGAAGAGGGGGGGGGGGGAGTGCTTCCTGTTTCACCTGTAGATAATAAAAATAGGTTATAAACTAAGTTTAACGGTTTTACCCCGTTTTTCCAACCCCTCGATTCCCTCCGGAAGTGATTTTTATTTTAGCCTCTAGTTTCTCTTTTCAAGTCAAAATTTTAAAAAAGCAATTAGACAAAGAAATTTTTGGTAAAAATCTTCGATGGATTAGATACACGTCTTGGGGTTTTCTGTGCAAGTTAGGTTTTTAAATAAACTTTTTCTTCCCGTGAAGGTTTGCGAGGAATGACTAGTATATTTTCCTGTTATTTCAGCCCTGCTAGAGGTTCTAGGAAGCTGGCTTCAGTTCCAGTATCCTGGGGGGGGGGGGAGTTGCAAAATGGTTTTCTATGTAATCTGATGCAGATATGCATCTCTAGGTTTCAAGTTAAACAATATATAAAACTTCAAGGGGATATTTCTATGCTAGTTTACACTTTAACGTCTTGAATTTTATTCTTCATTTATTCAGTTTCACTTTCGGTTATGCAACTTGGAAATTTAAATTAATTTTATGAAACTATTTTGTACTTTATCATTCTTCCTCACTTCATCGTGAATTTCATAATGAATGTGCTAAAAAATTGGATTAGTTGTACATTATAGCACGTGTGCTAGAAAGAGAAAATTTCTGTCCAAAAACTACGAACCAAAATAGCAGTGTTAGAAATAGTTATTTCAATTCTTTGATCTTTAATGCAAATCTTAAAATTCAAAATTAGTTCAAAATAAAAACGAAAAATATTACTTATCAACTTGAACTTGGATTGAATGATTTTTATTAAGAAACTATTAGGGTGTACACAATTTACATGTCCGATAATTAGATGGCAAAAGAAGAAAAAATAAGTTGCGAGAAAAAAGGGAAAAAAATTAGAAATATAATTGAAATTCTTTCAGATGCCAGGGCAGTTCAACCTGTTTAATCAGGTTAGTAATCCCCCCCCCTCTCTGTATTCCCTCCTCTTTGTGTGTAGTGTTGCATGTTTCATTGCATGGTATTTATATAGTTGCATGCCTGGGTTTTACTGAACAATTCGTATAAAGTTCATGTTAATCAAATAATCTTTGTTGATTTTTGGTCTGAAAACTGTCTTTTGAAAACACAGAAGAGATGCATTTAGAAAGTTAGTTTGAACTTTCTCTTGAGAACTTTCAAAGCAACTTTTTTAATGTTTGAAAAGTTTTAATTAAAATAAGTTTTTCCTTAGTGTTTTTCTTTTTTTCACTGTTTTTTGTTTTTGTGTTTGTATGTATAGTCCAAAAATATAAAAAATTAATTAATTTTGATGAAAAAATAAGTTAATGTTAATAATTAATTATTAAGATAAAAGACGTAACCTAAATGTTATTTTTCAAAAACATGAGATTTCTATAAATTAATATGAATATATATTTCAGCGGACGGCCGGAAACTGGTCAAATATACCTGGAATCGGCGGTAGAGATCCTGAGGCCGAGCAGCGTCAACGATTTCTAGATGCGAGGTCACGCGATTACCGACCTCCCCCTCCAGCACACGGAGACCCCTACGCCCGAGGTCACCCGAAGGATCTTGAGGCCAGGGGTGTTCAGGATCCTCGCGGTGGATCTTCTTCACAACCTCCTCAGGGGTATAGACAAGTGGAGCAGTACAGTAAACATCCTCAAGCTCCTAGTCCGGGATCCTACCATAGAGGTCCTTCACCACATCATACAGTTCCACCTGCTCATCATAGAGGACCCTCACCTCATGGAGGTCCTTCACCACATCATACAGTTCCATCTGCTCATCATAGAGGACCCTCACCTCATGGAGGTCCATCTCCACACCATGGTGGACCATCTCCTCATCATAGTGGACCACCTGCTCATCATAGAGGACCCTCCCCACACCACGGTGGACCATCTCCCCACCATGGTGCTCCATCTTCCCATCATACGATTCCAGGTCCACATCACGGTGGACCACCTGGACATCATTCTCTTCCCTCTCCTCATCACCGAGGTGGACCAAGTCCTCTTCACCGTGGTGGTCCTTCTCCTCATCTTAGTCGAGGTATATCTCCCGGAGCAGGATCCCCTCATTCCCCTCCAGATAGATATGCCGGACTCAAACTAGGATATCCTCAAACTAAACCATACAGTCCTTCTCAAGGGTTACTTAGTCCCCAGCCTGGTTCTATCTCTAGTATAACCGGTATACCTAGACCTAAGGTTGCATCACCAGCTCCGGGTCCAGTATATGGTAAACCCTCTCTACACTCACCTATACCTAGAGATATTCATGGAATGAAACCTACACAACCCAGTCCTCATCCTGCTCATCCTCCCCCAGCACACAGTGTTCACAAGGTTAACATCTGGGAGGCTTCTAGACCTTCTCCGATACCCTTGGAACCACTTCCGCTAGATCTAGGTATGTTTATTACATTTTTTAAAATTAGGCTGCGCCCATCTTACATTTTAATTGGGAACATTTTCTCTTTTTATACATTGTAAAACAAAAACAAAAAAGGCCGCGGATTTAAAAAAAATATCGTGGATTTTTGAAATTTAATAAAAATCTAATTTTGTTGGAGACTAATTTTTGAAATTTGATCATCCTAAGACCTTCCCTGGGGTCACGTGAGGTCTCTAAAAACAATTGGGCGAGTTCAGTTCAGCCGTTTTGACGTTTATTGGACACCAACAAACAGACAGACAAGCGAAGTATTTTTTGAGCTTGGCAATTTTTCGTTTTCTAACTTTAAAGTCTAAATATGTGTACTCATTTTATGCTATTTTGGAAATAATCTGCTATTACGTAATTTTTTTTTAACCTCAAACTTTCTTGGTATTTTATTTTATTTTATTTTCAGACATTCATAGTTTTCGAATGACTTAGAAATAAAAATAAATGCAACTTCTAATTATGGCGGAATGTTCATATATTTAATGAAAAATAAGTTTATTTGTAATAACTTATACTATTAATCTGATTTTACAAGAAAATAAGTCTTTTTATTTAATTTTCCTTATTTAGGATCCAGTAAACGGAAACCTGAGTCAGATGATCCTGTTCTCCTGGTTCCACTGAAAACCAGCAGAATAGAACCAGTATCGCCTCCCGGTCAGCTCCATAGGGTCACCGAACCTTCCACCCTCGGCACTCAGGTCATAGGGGCCGAGGCTACCCTCATAACCTCGGTTGTAAACACGGCAGCTCTATCGGCTGGTGATGTACAGGACGAGAACAGTCGACAGACAGATCCTCCCAGTGAAGAGAAGAAGAAACCTGAGCCCGGGGGAGCAGGATATGTTCATAAACTCAAGAAAGCTTGGATGAAGTCCTATGTAGCTGAACCCGCCGGTGACTTCAGCGGCGGGGGAGGCTCCAAGAATGGAGGAAACCAGTCTGGAGGATCAGGGTGTAACAGTTCATCAACTAGTCCACAGCTCACCAGGGCGACTCCTTCACCTGTAGGATCAACCAAGTCCACAGGATCAGGACTAGGATTCCCAAGTGCTGTTAAATCCGCGGCTGAGGCTCTACGTATGAACGGGCATGGTTCTCCAGGGAGTGAGAAGAAAGGAGATGACGAAGATATGTCAAGTGAGGAGGAGGAAGATGCCAGTAAACCTCTCCCTAAACCCAAGAAGGCCAAAGGGAAACCTGGTCCCAAACCCAAAGGAAAACCGGGTCCTAAACCTAAGACCGGGCCTAGAAAGAAAGCTGCAAGTGAAAGTGAAAACTCGGATTCTGAGAAAGAATCTGATTCGTCCAAGAAATCTGAGAACGGTTTAGGTAAAAAACGAGGCAGGAAACCGGGGAAACAAACAAAGGTTAAAGAGTTTGATGAACCTAAGTTTAAAAAGTTTAAAACCGAGGAATCTCCAAAATCTGATCCGTTTACCAAGCCGTCCATCAGTCAGCTCAAGAAGTCTGGTGACAGTTTTCTACAAGATGCTTCGTGCTTTGAGGTTGCTCCAAAATTGAACAAATGTCGTGAATGTCGATGGTCTCATGCTCAGCGACAGAAACAGAGTCTTGCCAATATTTTCTGTCGGTTTTATGCATTCCGTAGACTGCGTTACACTAAGAACGGACAGATTGCTCAGGCTGGATTCTGTGATCCTAAACAGGATGCTCAAATCGAAGATCTTAAACTCTGGCTCCCCAGCCAGGAGCGGTCTCCTCCAGATATGGACAAGAACACTGCCGAGATAATACTAGAGAACCTAAGCAGTCTCTTCTATACTATATACAGAGAAGAGCAGGAAGCCACCAACATCCATTTATCTGAAGATCTAACGGTTGCCTGGAAACGGGTAGTGCAGGGGGTCAGAGAAATGTGTGATGTGTGCGAAGCTACGCTATTTAACAACCACTGGGCATGTGGAAAGTGTGGGTTTGTTGTGTGTATTGATTGTTACAGAACGAGGGCGGGTGAGGAGTCAAAGGAGACTGAGACGAGTACAGGGAAGGATCGGGACGAGTTCTCCTGGTTGTTCTGCACCAACAGACAATCCCATCAACCAGATACAATGATGCTTACGCAGATTATTGCCGGGGACGCATTGGAGGAGGTTAATACTAAGCTCAGAATACTCGCCAAACTACACAGGACCAAGGGAACCAACGGAGAGAATGGATGGCAGAATCCGGATAAAAATAGTAATGGAATCCGTCCTAACGGCATCAAAGACGAAACTGATGTCAAAGAAGAGAAAGAGGTATTTTTTTGCAAACATTTGTAAAAGATAAATTTAATGTTATTCTAGATAAAACCTGATATTATAGGGACTGTCAACGTTATTTCAAGTGGTCCTCCGTGCAAAAATGACTGGCCTATTCACTTCCGGTGTCTTGGCCTTGAAACCTTTACCTGATTGGACGATATTGTCGTTTTTCTAGGTTTTTGATTGATTGTTTGATTTTCACCTTAGTAATACCACAGTTGAAAATAAAAAGTTTTTACGATTATAAACATTGATTTTTTATTATTACTTGATCAGACAAAGCTATAAAGGGTACCGTTATGAATCAAGGATTGCCATTTTTTCATGGAGGGTCACTTGTAATTACTCATACAGTCCCTTTAAACAGATAAAATCCAGTTTTAAATTTGCAAGTTATTTGCAACATTTTAACTGAATTAATTTAATCAATTTGATATTTGGTTTCATTTTCAATAACTGCATTCTCAGTGGATTTGGATAGATCAATGGTTGAGATCATTAGAAACCTTGAAGCTATGAGATAGGAAAAATTTTAATTTTGTTTTGTTTTAGGGTAAAGATACGAGTAATCTACGAGATCTGATCTGTTCTGTATCTCACTACTCCTGGGGTCCTCGAGATACATGTTCTATATCCATGAACCCGGTGGATGATAATTACAAGTTCTCTCATCACACCACACACTCCTGGAACTGTGACGGGAAGGTTTTAAGACTGGAAGATCCTCTAGAACCAGAAAACCTTGAGCTCTTCAAGTTCAGCTGGAAACATTCCCAACCAGTAATAGTGGAGGGTATAGGAGACACCTTAGACTCTTCACTCTGGAGTCCATCAAACTTCTTAGATCTGCCAGATCACGGGTTTGATCCTGCTAACCCAGAATCATCTGCGGTTTCTAACGGACAGACCTTGAAGAAGTTCTTCGACGGGCTAGATAATACATCTCGGAGACCTGTTGGGGATAACGGTGAACCAATGTGTTTAAAACTTCGTGATGGATGGCCGCTCCAGGAGGATCAATTTCAAGAACTACTTCCGGTTCAGTGTAAAGATATTCTGCGTAACCTTCCTCTTAAACAATATATGGATAGATCTGGGATTCTCAACCTAGCCTCGATGCTACCAGAGTGCTTTGTGAGGCTGGACCTCGGACCGAGGTTGCGCGGTGGATATGGAAAATCTGTGTATGCCATGAAGTACAATACCAGTGATACCTTCAGTGTGTGTGTGTACACGGGCAAGGACGGAAAGGAAGATATTAGGGAAACTCTGAGAAACTTGAAATGTGATAACAGTTGTTTAGAAAAGGCTGGACTGAACCCGAGTAAACTTGCCGCCCTTTGGACCGTGTTCCATCCGTCAGAAGCGGACAAAGTGAAATCTTTCATTCTTAGAAATTTGAAATCCGAGGGTAAAGTGAAACCTAAGGATCCACTGTATGATCAAACAATGTATCTGAAGGATCGACATTTAGATAAACTACTAGAGGAGGAGAATATTAAACCCATGGTGTTTACACAGCTACAGGGAGAGGGGATATCTATTCCTGCCGGAGCTCCCTTCCAGGTTAAATTCCTCCAAGCATCTCTTCTAATTCAGATAGATTCTATTTCACCGGAGCATATGGATCAGGCCATGCATATTAGACCATCTGATATTCATAGATTTGATGATAGATTTCAAGTTAAAAACCTGGTTTTCCACTCATGCAAGGACGCGCTATCCGTCCTGTTTAATCAAGACAAGAAGAAATAGATGGTTCCGTCCTAGAAACCAGGATTACTAGTCCTCTCTCTCTCTATATATAGTTGTTAATGTAGAGAACTCTACCAATGTATCAAACCTGGGCAGAAAGGCGTGTTGACAAACCTCTTAACTTCACGTTAGAATTCACTCAGTTTAGCCTGATATTCAGGTTTATTAGAACTACGGCTTCTACATCCTTTCCTTCCTCTACCTTCACTTTACCATCCCTTCACTTAGCCATACATTTTCTCCCCAGTCCACTTGCTTCCCCAGTCTACTTACTTCCCCAGTTCACTTACTTCCCCAGTCCACTTACTTCCCCAGTCCACTTGCTTCCCCAGTCCACTTGCTTCCCCAGTCCACTTACTTCCCCAGTCCACTTACTTCCCCAGTCCACTTGCTTTCCCAGTCGACTTGCTTCCCCAGTCCACTTACTTCCCCAGTCCACTTACTTCCCTGCTAAGTCAGAAAACTCAAGAGGCATTTCCTTAAAGGAGAAGAAGTAAAAAGTTGTGCATTAACATTATTATCATTATTATTATTGTTTTCAGTGATCTCACACCACTAGTGATTCATAGTGTTCCATACTCGTATCCTACCTTTTCCATCCCCCCCTCCGCCCGTATCCGACAGAGAAAAACCAGGAAATGTGATGAAAATTGTTGTTTTTATTTACATCGATGTTGATTACAAATGATCTATGTATCTTAATAAATCTAACAAAACCTTATAAACGTTGTGTAATTACCACTTGTCCATCTATATATTTACACGTTCAAAGAAACTGACTTACTATTAGATATTTATTAAAAATCAGGTTTCCAAGATAAAAAAAATAAAGACGGATTCGAATATTGAATATTCGGTTAATTTTTTGTTCGACGACAATATTTATTGTGTACTGCAAATTGCAATGATTTGCGATACTTTGACTGAAGAAATAGTGGTTGTAGTTGAGAGCTATTATTTTCTAAATCTTTAATTATTTTCTATTTCTAAAATAATTAATTTTTTTTCATGTGGCAAGAAAATTCTTTTGGTTAAACATACTAGGCTTTCTTCTATTTCAACTTTTAATTGTGGCGTTATCGTTGAGCATCAACTCCTTGCTTAAAATATAACAAAATAATATAGTTCGCAGGTAAAAAATATTTTTTTTGTGTATTAGAAGTTTTTGGAGACAATTATTAGAAATTCTGAGCATCCATAAACCTTCCCTGGGGTTATGTGAGGTCCCACACAAGTTGTGTGTCCAATCGGTTCAGCCGTCATGACGTTTATTGTTGGATACAAATAGAGACAGACGGTCAAGAAAAGAATATAAAGAAGCTATGTAAAATATTCTTAATAATAGACAAAGGGAGCAGGTCAACTGCAGGCGAGATCACTGGTGTGACTTTGTGACCTAATAGAACCCCTAGGTTTAAGTTTGCGAACATGTAAGAGAAAAGCAAGTTTTTTTGGTAACATACAGAGTGTCTCAACAAACATGGGAATTCAGAGGCAATTTTGATATCGTCTAGCTTTGTAAATGATTTTTTTTATTAAGTATGGTGATGCCTAATAGAAAACTATAATCCGTCTGATAGAGTTCAGAATTTGCATTTGTTCGATGTTTTTTAATGCATACTGTGCTGTACTTAACAATTACAGAAATTCTTGTATACAAATATAGTACAGTTGTTTCTCTTCACTGTTTATCTTGCAGAAATGTTACAGAACATCATATCAACGTTTTACAGAATAACAAACCAGTGTTTTACCGTTTACATCAAATATACTCTAGCAGATGTAACTTTATTTTGACTATTGAAATTAGGTAACATAACGCTAATTCTTTACAAAAACGATTTCGAATTCGTCTCTTTAAACTCCCATGTTTATTGGGACACCCCGTATGAGATATTCTACGGTGAAATCCAGAAAACTCTGGAATATGAAGACGACGTTAAGACTCTATAGTTAGTTGTTATAACTTTAAAAATTCCAATGAGTATAAGACATAACAGCTGTGTAGTGTAAACAGACCAATTTCACTAAATTACTGATTTAATAAGCGTCCAGTAAAACTATTATACTCATTGGCAGATGCAGAGGCGCAATTGAAAAAAATATATAGTTCAAATGACAAAAAAATAGTTCAAATGAAATAGTTAAAATGAAAAAAAATAGTTCAAATGAACAAAAAATAGTTCGAATGAGAAAAAATATTTCAATGAAAATGACAAAAAATAGTTAAAATTCGAACAACTTCAAATAAAAAAATTTGTCTTCTAATTCTCTTTTTAGTTGGGGGAGGAGCGGGGGATGCACATGCCCTGAATATATCTATTCATATACTTTACGCTTGTCTGTTTGTCTGTCCGTTTGTTTCCAATAAACATCAAGTGACCCCAGGGAAGTTTCATGAATGATATAAATGTTGCCTTCAACAAAATTCGATTTGCATTAAATTAAAAAAAAATCCGCGATTTTTTTTTATAAAATCCTCGAACTTTTGTCAGTTTTTGTCTGTATACAAAAATTAAATGTTCATTGTTGAAATAGAAGATGGGCGCGAAGCGCTCTAAAAGCCTTTTAACGTAGGAAACGACCTCAACAGAAATGGAAAAACGTTTTTGTGGTGATTTTCATTTGTAAGGATTTATTTTATTTTAGTTTGGCCGAGTGCTGCTGACTATTTCTAACTCTGTCCTACCCCTGGATAAGCTGACTCCAACCCCCAGTTCACTCGACGGAATGACAACAGAGGTAATTATTGATAGTAATTAACAATGTTAATTTTGAAATTAGTTAGCAAAATATTACTGTATAATACTGCACACTAACCGCTGTTTACCTTTATGATTAAATTAGTTTCTAGAAAATCTGGAATTTTTAATATATAATACTTATATCACAAAATACATAAACTTAGTTTTTCTTCTTAGTGCATTTTCTGTTAAAAAAATCTACATTTTTCCACAAACAAATTAATATCTAGACTGAGATAGATTTACGAAACCTCGGATGTAATCTTATACAAACGGCTGGCAAACTACTCAGACTGCCTCAGGTAAACTTGGTAGCATTTATTCGAGGAAAATATGAATCCCCCCCCCCCCTCCCCAAGTTAAATAATTCATTCCTAATACAATTACGTCTTGCAATTGATTTAATTTTTCCTTCGGGATAATTTCGCTCTGATTTGTTTATATGTTTAGGTTGCAATGGCTACATCCTGCGTTATGTACCAGCGGTTCTTCTACAGTAAAAGTTATGTACGGTACAATTTTGAGCATGTAGCTATGGGCTGTGTTTGTCTAGGTAAGATACCATCTGTTTGTATGTCCTCGATTGCTGTTTATCCATCCTCTAATTCTGTTTATCCATCCCTGAATTCGCTTTATCTATCCTCTAATTCTCTTTTTCCTCAAATTATTTTTGTTCATTCTCTAATTCTGTTTATTCATCCTATAATTCTGTTTATTCATCCTATAATTCTGTTTATTTATCCTATAATTCTGTTTATCTATACAAAGTTCCATTCCTCCGACCTTGTATTCTGATCTCATTCTCAAATTCTGTTAATCCATCCTCTAATTCTGATCATCTAACCTCTAAATGTGTTCATCTATCCTCTAATTCTGTTTTTTTATCCTCTAATTATGTACATTTTGCGTCTGATTAAGTGAATCCATCTATGCTCTGATTATGTTAATCCAACCATCCTCTAATTTTAATTATCTAGCGTGATCATGTTAAAACATTCATCTTCTTATTCTGATCATCTAGCGTGATTATGTTAAAACATTAATCTTCTAATTCTGATCATCTAGCGTGATTATGTTAAAACATTCATCTTCTAATTCTGATCATCTAGCCTCAAAGATTGAAGAGTCTCCTAGAAGACCGCGTGACGTCATCAACGTGTTCACTCACATCCGACAGGTTAGAATTTTAAAAAGAAAACTTTTTTTATTAATATTATCAGATGGATATTATTTTTCTTTTCTTTGTCTTGAAGCTGATTTAAATGAACCGTAACTTGAATGGAAGAGCCGGGTTGGATTTCCTGTTAAAGGACTGTTCTTGTATTTGAACTGACTCTCCATAGAACGAGGGGCCTGTTGAATTCCCATTCACAACTGTAACCATTAAACTTTTATTGGATCCAAAATCTTATCACTTTTCTTAGAAAGCACAATTGAAAAGAACTCAATTCTAGATCAGACACGGTTGTGAATCCGATATTCCACTCAGTTGATGGGGAGTCACTAAAAATTAAGAATGTAAAAAGAAACCTAAGTCCATATGTAAATATTTTCAAATTTAATTGTGAAGAGAAAGAAATTTTTAAAAGTGTTTGGTTTGATACTGATTGATTGATTGATTGATTGATTGATTGATTGATTGATTGATTGATTGATTGATTGATTGATTTAGGTTCGGCAGGGTAAACCCATAAAACCTGTTATCCTAGACCCGGATTATATCAGACTCAAGAACGATATTATCAAGGTGAATATCAAATATTCATAGATATTAATAATCATTATAAAAAAGGGTCCAAAGGGAAGCCAATGGCGGGATATATATTATCTCTTGGTTTGAAATATTTTGCTGGGAAAATTTATCTGGAGGTTACAACTTTTCCATTCTTATTTTGATCAGACTCAGTCGGTTTTTTTTATCCCTTGGGTGGCTGTATTGAAGGGGTGTCAACCCCCCCCCCCCCCCTCCTTATTGATTTACTGTGAAAAAAGGCGTGATGGATTTCCTCTCAAGTCTCAACACCGAATTCAGCCAAATCCTTTAATTTATAAGTTTACGTTTTCGATGTGGCTAAGCGCCAACCAAAAGTTTAGCCTCTTGAATTATTGTTTAATTTTAATGTAAGTACATCAATTCTTGCTGTAATTGCAATCAATGGGACATTTGCTAGGCGGAGAGACGCGTTCTAAAGGAGCTGGGGTTTTGTGTGCATATCAAGCACCCACACAAACTTATTGTCATGTACCTGCAACTCTTAAGGAATTTGATACTTGTCCCTCGATTGATGAATTGATAAATTGATCCTTTGCGGATTTTATGTATACGAGCACACTAAGCACGGATTAGCGTTTTGGTGGATTTGTCTGCGTGGATTGCGTGTTTACGGTTGGTTTAATCACTAAAATATTGTTTTCTTCAGGTGAACAGTGTGCCTTGTACACCTGATCCAACGATGGTAGGTATACAACAGAAATGGAACTACAGATTTTAATTTAATTTTCAAGAAATATCAATCATTTGTTCAGGGTTATATTTCTCTCATTCCGACTTTTGCATCTATTACTCATTTACTTGTCTTATTAATCCTTTCCTTTTTATTTTTATCATTATGGATATCGGAACTTGTGTAGATATTGTTAATCTTGAACTCCTTGATTTTGATATCCAATATGCGCATATCCAATATGCGCATTTATTTCGAGGTTCAATTCAATGGTCAAGTTATTCCTGCAAGGTATGACCATCATAGGATATGGGGTAATAAATTATCCCGTGTAGATCTGCACAAGACGGAGATCAATGCTTTATCCTGAAATTCACAAAACAAAGGTTCTGACTTCAGAACTTGGAACTTTTGAATTGGATACCTTTATCCCGATCACTCAATTTGAATAGCCAATGTGGACACTTAATTTCTTGCGTATTCCGCTCTATTTGGATATCCCTAATGTATTCAAGTTCCGTTTAATAACAAATACAGATACGATGCTATATCAATTGGATTAATATCAGATTGAACAATTACGTTCAACTGGACTAACCGGTTTTTAGTCCATTTAAACACTAGAGCATTTGAACAAAATCAAAATTTTCATTATGTTCAAATTAATTTTAAAAAGGAGATCTTACTGCTTGGGGTCGGTTCTCCTGCCCGTCCCAGTCGTAGCGCTTAGCCCCCCAAATGGTCGTAACCAAACGCATATAGTTTAGACTAGGCGGTGCCCATCTTCTATTAATTGTGAACTTATCTCTTCGTAAACATTCTGAAACAAAGATAAAAAAATATTTTTAAAAATCGGTTTTTTATATATAATACAAATTTGGTTGGCCGCAAATTTTTGAAATTTTTATCATCTATCAACCTTTTTTGGGACATGTGAAGTCTCGCAAAAAATTTGGGCCCGATTCGGTGCAGCCGTTTTGACGTTAATTGGATACAAACAAACAAGCAAAGTTTGTATAAAGATTACTTCATATCTATTTTATATGTTTTATATTTAATAATTGAAAGAACATGATTAAAGGGAGTGACCGGCTATGTAAGGTAGTTGAACTGGGTATGCAGTGTTGTGGAAAACTTCTTTCGGATTCATTTGAGTCATATTTAACTTTTTAAAGATATGTAAATCATATTCGAAGTTCAAAACTCCTACTTTGAGGGGGGGGGATACGTTTTCAGAATTAGTTTTTTTAATTATTTAATAACGACAGCGAAAAATGAAGTAAAACTTATACAGTAATCTAATTAGATGGTTAGGAACATATTTCTCAAAAGAAATTTGTCAATAAATCAATGCTAAAATCGATTATTTCGTTTTCATTATTATATTGAATTTATTGTTTTCTTTGAATTTATTCACAGATTTCTTCAAATTCTTCAAATGTCGTCTTTTCAATAATAATTCTAGAAAATCTGCAGAAAATCTTCGTGAATAATGAGAACCAGAAAATTAATCCGAAAGAAGTTTTCCACAACATTGCATACTCAGTTCAACTACCTTACATAGCCGGTCACTCCCTTTAGAAAAACGGGAAAAGGGTCTAAATTTGTAAAATTGTACGTAGGTATTAAAAATGGTCTCAATCTTGAAAATCCGATTACATACAAGTCTATAGACTATTATAGCCCTTTTTTTAGACACCCTGTAGTTCAATCGAACAATTATCTATACAATAAAACAAGACATTCGTATTTATATATGTTGCCTATAGCCGTCCAAACGGCTGGACCGAATGGACTGAAACTGTTTGTAAACACTCAGGGGTGGCCGGGGGGTGTTTTAGGCTAAAGAATATTTTTTAGTTAAAAAATCGAATTTTTTTAAAAATTCCACGGGCAACGCCGGGCCCTTCAGCTAGTATATAATATAACAACACATTCGTATATATATATGTTGCCTTTTTTTTCAACATTTTAAAAAAATTTTACATCTTTTTTTCTACGGCCAACGCCGGGCCCTTCAGCTAGTTTATTATAAAGAACTATTTAGTACTTTTGAACACTATCTCTAATATACAACACAATGTAGAACCTTATAAATTGTGCCAACGTAGATTATCTTTATTTTTAGTTGTTTTTAACAAATTTACTTAATCTAGTGGGAAACTTCAATTTATAAATTTAAAATTGTCACTTTTAGATCTACAAGCCTAAAGTTAGGCTCATTAAATCGAAAATTGTAAGTACATAATTAAAATTTTGAAAATCTGATTACAAATAAGTCTATAGTTTCTTACACCCTGTAGTTCAATTGAACAAATATTTGTTCAGAACAACTATATAGTACTTTTCAACTTTAGTCCAAACATTAAGTTGGTTCAATCGATCATTAGTCCAATTGATATGACACCACAAGAACAGACAAATCAAAAAACCGGTTATTCAAAATTAGAGAGCGCAAAATTTCAAACATTGATCTCAATATCAACAATTCTAAAGTTTTCAGCTTGGACCATTTTTCTCCGTAGGAAATTTTTCTATTTTATTTTTTAAAATAGCCCAAAACGTCAGCAACCCTGAAAGTTAACATTCATCCAAATATCTATTTATACTAAAGCCATATTGTGTTTTTATTCAACTTTTTTGGTTGTAAAGTGAAACCGGATCTTATTTGCATCAAATTAGACGAATTCTTAGTATTGTATTTTGTTTACGAAAACAAACCGCTGAAAAACAATAACAAAAAAACGTACGTTTGACGTCATTGTTAACGCTTTCTTGATCGCTTTTAAAACGTTCATTAGTTTATTATTGGACAAATTTATTTGCAAGTTAAAAATGAATTTAAGTTTCAGAAATTGAAAAAAGTTTTATTTACTAAAGATACGTTTTCAAGATTGTGACAGTGCAATTTAAGAAAAACAGACAAACAAACATTTATGTAATATTATCTCAGAGCTCTTTGTACCATCTTTCAATTAATAGTTCTCGCTTGTTCATCTTACTTCAACGTTAGCCATTTTTTTTTCCTCCGGGACAATTTGAATATAAAATGCTAGAAACTTGCAGACTTTTTTGTTTTTGTTGGGTCATGTTAGAGTTAGGATCTAAATGAAATTTAGGTTCGGTTCAGCCGTTTCGGTTTATTGGGAACCAACCTAACATCCTCTGCAGTGCAGTGGTTGGTGCGAAAGCTGAAACTAAGTTTCGTTAAAGGGATAGGATAGTAAGAACCAACAAAGATAATAGTTTTTCACTTATTCGCCCTCCCATTTTTTATTTTTTACCCCAAATTCAACAAATTGTAATCTATTCTCAATTGAAAAACTCGGTGTTTTTTGGCAGTGGTGTTTATAATCTAGAAAAATCATTTTTCTTCACTCTCATTTTGAAAAAAAGAGTTTTTAAACTTTTTTTGGGGGTTTTATTCGCTGAGCTGTGGGAAATTAATCATTTTTAGGGAAAATAAACGAATTTTTGGGAAAATGTATCAAAAAGAAAGATAAAAGTTGACTTTTTATGTCTTGCTTTCCCTAAATCATTAAAAATTATTTTTGTGATAAATATGCTTCCCTGGTTTTAGGGTTTAGGGTTTTGCCCTTTATTTCCCCCCCCCCTTTCCTTACTTTCCCTTTCCTACCTTACACTCGTTCCGTTCCTTACCTTCATTTTCCATATTCTCTCCTTCGGCTTTCCATACCTTCTTCTTTCATATTTTTCTCTTCACTTACTTCCCTTCCCTACCTTTTCCCTCCCTTCCCTACTTTATCTTCCAACCTTTTTTCCGTTCCTTACCTTTCATTTCCTACTTACCCCTTTTCTACCTGCCCTTTCCTTCCTTACTTTGTCACAGCCTTCCGTTCCCTATCTTACCTTTCATACCTACCCCTTCTCTTCCTTACCTTCGCTTCCTTCCCTGCCATCCCTTTTCCATACTTTCCCTCGCTATCTTCCCTGGGCCATCCCCTTACCTTCTTTCCCATCCCGTTCCGTACTTTTCCCTTCCCTTACCCTACCTTTCCCTTCCATACTCAACCTTTCCCTTCCCTACCCTACCTTTCCCTTCCATACTCTACCTTATCCTTCCCTATTCTACCTTTCCCTTCCCTACTCTACCTTTCCCTTCCCTACTCTACCTTTCCCTTCCCTACTTTACCTTTCCCTTCTCTACTCTACCTTTCCCTTCTCTACTCTACCTTTCCCTTCCTACCCTAACTTTCCATTCCATACTCTTCCTTTCCCTTTCCTACCCTACCTTTCCCTTCCATACTCTACCTTATCCTTTCCTACCCTACCTTTCCCTTCCATACTCTACCTTATCCTTCCCTACCCTACCTTTCCCTTCCATACTCTACCTTTTCCTTCTCTACCCTACCTTTCCCTTCCATACTCTACCTTTCCCTTCCATGCTCTACCTTTTCCTTCTCTACCCTACCTTTCCCTTCCATACCCTACCGTTCGTTTCCTCTTTTTCCTTCCCTGTTTACCACACTAAGATTTTGCATCTTTATTTCCTAAGTTCCCACACAAAAAGATTTTGCGGTGTATAAAGGCTGGGTTGGAATTAATCTTATCCCAGATGTTGTCACTAAACATTTTTTTTTCGTTTTCGATTTCGTGATTTTAATATGACCTGGACAAATGTTTTGTTTTCATCTGTAGTGTTAGTTCCATTTCTGTTAACGGCGTTTATCTAAAGCGTAAGCGTATTCAAATCTGGTAAAAAAATGGTGTACATACTACACAGCACACACTGTTCTACGCAGTACGCAATCTATACGTATCCACCAAATTTTTATTCATATATGTTAATATTTAATTTTTACAATTCTTCGTTTTTAAATTGTTAACTTTTAGATTAAAAAAGGTTTTGAAAAATTCGATGCATAAAAAATTGATTTTTAAATGTCTTAATCATGACCCCTACAAATAGGTTAAGAGGTTAAAAGGCAACAAGAAATATCGGTGCAGAATGTGGACATTTTGAGTTTAATTTCGGAAAGTATAAGATTTAGTCTAATTCAATCTTCTTTTCCTGGTTCTGGATCCGTTCTGGAAAAAAGTGGATCCGGATCCCGGTCAAAAAAAATTCTTCTAGTTTTACGAAAACTAATTTTTTTTAATAATCTTGTTTTCTTTATTTTTTTGTTAAACTTGTGTTAACATTTAGATATCAGAAAGGTATTGCGCATCTCTTATTTATCAACTATTAAATTTTGTGTTTTGGTATATTTATATTTTGGTATTGAATTAGATTTCTATTTTTAAAACTGTTTCATGAACATTAATGTTAAAAATATGAGGGTTTGAAGTATCAATACTTGTTAGTTATGAGAAGGATCACAAGTTTATACAGATGTCCTGGAACTTTATGAATGATTCCCTCAGGACCGATTGTTTCGTCAGGTAAACTATATTAAAGGGACTGTAAGCCTAAATTCAAGTGACCCTTCATACGTAGATGGCTATGCCCGATTTACAACGGTACCCTTGACAAACCTTAGTATGATCAAAGATGTGGAAAATACCTTCGTTTTTTTTCGACTCGAAAAGTTTTTATTTCTGCGAGTTTTTCATTGCTTCACATAGGCATCAAATGCGCAAGTAACTTTTGCAGAGAAACTGCAAATGAGAATAAACAGTTTAAAGAAACAAAAACATTATTTATAATTCATACCTGATCAGAAAAAGTTTCCAAGGGTACTGTTTTAAATCGGCCATTGCCATATTTTGCATGGAGATTCACTTGAAATTACGCTTACTGTCCCAGTTCCGTTTGATAACAAATACAGATACGATGCTATATCAATTGGATTAATATCAGATTGAACAATTACGTTCAACTGGACTAACCGGTTTTTAGTCCATTTAAACACTAGAGCATTTGAACAAAATCAAAATTTTCATTATGTTCAAATTAATTTTAAAAAGGAGATCTTACTGCTTGGGGTCGGTTCTCCTGCCCGTCCCAGTCGTAGCGCTTAGCCCCCCAAATGGTCGTAACCAAACGCATATAGTTTAGACTAGGCGGTGCCCATCTTCTATTAATTGTGAACTTATCTCTTCGTAAACATTCTGAAACAAAGATAAAAAAATATTTTTAAAAATCGGTTTTTTATATATAATACAAATTTGGTTGGCCGCAAATTTTTGAAATTTTTATCATCTATCAACCTTTTTTGGGACATGTGAAGTCTCGCAAAAAATTTGGGCCCGATTCGGTGCAGCCGTTTTGACGTTAATTGGATACAAACAAACAAGCAAAGTTTGTATAAAGATTACTTCATATCTATTTTATATGTTTTATATTTAATAATTGAAANATTAAAAAAGTGGCATCAAGAAAACAGTGGAATGATAGTCGTTCACCATGTTCTTTCTTTCTTTTTAATATGATGTCGCAAGGTATTTTGTAATTTTTAAATGTGCCTTAATTCGTCGTCGCATATATCAATACAATGAAGACGGCTTTGGATTTCAATTTTAGATTTCAAGCTTTCAAACAGAAAGTAAGTCGAGTCTAAGATCTCGAAGCTGTCAATCACGTGATACAAGCTGTCTCCGAGTTGGTCTGAGATTGAGTCTTAAAGCTGGGTTTCAGAAATGACGGCCCGATCCGAAGCTTTTAAATCGCAGGCTCTGATCACTACTGAAGAAAAATATTTTTTTGTTTAGAAAACCGTCTTGGTACGAGCTGCTGGGAGTCGAGGAAGACGATATTCGAGACTGCTGTTACAGGATGATCTGTCTCTATCAGAGGAAGAAGGTTTTTTTTGAAGTTTTTATTAAATTTTAAAAGAATTGTTATCTTGAGAACCTGGAGAAGGTTGTGGATAAGCTGAATATTTTTATTTACTGTATTATTGTCCAGGAGGAGCTGGAGAAGGTTGTGGATAAGCTGAATATTTTTATTTACTGTATTATTGTTCAGGAGGAGCTGGAGAAGGTTGTGGATAAGCTGAATATTGTATTTACTGTATTATTGTCCAGGAGGAGCTGGAGAAGGTTGTGGATAAGCTAAATATTTCTATTTACTGTATTATTGTCCAGGTGAACCAGGAGGAGCTGGAGAAGATTGTAGATAAGCTGAAGATGGTCCAGGACGAGAAGAAGAAGGAGGCGAGAAAAGTATTAACGGTTACATCAACAGCTCTGAATAGTCCAGCCAGCCAACCCTCCTCCCCACACAGACAGGTTGTACTGGCTTCTAGAGGTTTAAGCAAGGAAATATATTTTATTGAAAAATCCCCCCCCCCTCTTTTCAATGAAATGAATTTTTTTCAGTAATATTTTTAAAAATATTTGTGAATGTTATCATTGAAGTAGCATGTAAAGGGGAGGGGGTTCTAGCCCGGTACTTTTTAATCTAGCATTTATTCAAGTTGTAGCAATTACACAAAGAACTTTTAGAGCTAGGCAGATGGAAAAACAGCAACGAGTAAAATATATTTGAAATATTAAATTCAAGCCTTTGAACTAATGAATATGGTGCGTGATCAATTTGAGTGCACATTGTACACCCTTTACACCTCAAAACAGGGTCAAAAATAACAAATATGCCAAAAAAAACTTTTTAATGCCTTAATAACAGCCACAAATCATATCTTAACTATTAAAATTTATCAAAATGAATAAAATATGCCACTAACAGTATATAAATGCATAAAATATGCCACTAACAGTATATAAATGCATAAAATATGCCACAAATTTTGTCATGCCACATAAAATCTGCCACACTTTACATCACAGTTCAGAGAATATGCCCAAAAAAAGTATTTAAATGCATAAATCTGCCACTAAAATTATCTATAAGCTTAAATTATGCCACAAAATAGTTCCACGAACTATATCCACACCCAGACATACAAAATCTGCCACAAACAGTAATTAAAAGGAAAAAATAATACCACAAATTATGTCTTAGTCATACAAAATCTGCCACACATGCCTTCAAAACTCAGAAATGTGCCACAAACAGTATTTAAATGCATTAAATCAGCCATAAATAGTAATTAAAAGAATAAATTATGCCACATATTATGTCTTGCTACAGAAAATCTACATTATAAACATAAATAAAATCTGCCACATATGCAAACATAATTAAAAGAATAAAATATACCAAACAAAACAAAGCTGAGAAGATATGCCACAAAAACTCTTTTTTTACATCAAAAAGAGGGTAAAAAATATGATAAGTTGGCCACACAAAAAAAAACTTATCATAAATAATCGCCCCAAATGATTTTAATCTTTACGCTTAAAATTTGCCTTAAATGCATAATATATGTCACCAATAGTAATTAAAAGCATAAAATATGCCACACAAAACTTGTACTTAAAAATTGTCACAAAATATTTCTTGGTAAATGAATCTGCCACACATGCCATAATAGCTCATAAGATATGCCACAAACAGTTTCTAAATGCATAAAATCATCTGCGACAAAATCTATTAACATGCCATAAAATTATGTTAACACATGAAAAATTCCGCAAGTTATACCCTGGCAAAAAAATCTGCCACGAAAACTATTAAAGTTCAGGAAATGTGCCACCAATAAATAACTAAAGCAAAAAGGCCAAAGCATAAAATAAGAAGAAAATGGGTACTGAAATGCTACATAATAGAGAGCGGTCGGTTTATTTACCAATAAACTATCAGCAACTTTAATTTGATTGTTATCATCATTTCAGTAACAGACACTGTATTTATGTAGATGCTGACCACTCAACCGTTAATACATTGTGCAGTACATAATGCTTTTCTACAATTTTAGAGCAGGAAGGATGACGATAGAAGCAGAAGCAGAAGCAGAAGTAAAAGTTTAGATCGGAAAAAGAAGAAGAAGAACAAACGTTTACCCAAATGTAACTAATAAATACTAAAAGTCGTTTTAATAAATACTAAAAGTCGTTTTCTAGTAGATAGGATTAACTTTTTATTAATTAGAATTTCTTTTAGGAGAGATCCACCAGTTCAGATAGAAGAGATAGGCTCAAGCGTAAAGGAGGGAGAAGAGATTGGTCGTCTTCCCCCATTCACAAATCCAGGTACGTTGGGAAACCAACGTTCAACAGGGCCTAAGATCCATTTTAACCTGGATCCAGATGAAAAAATGAAAATTTTAAAACTTTCTCTAAGGCGATGATTTTAAAATGTTATCTCTTTTTCCCGGGTTTTCTCTGAAACTAGCTAATCCGGTGGTTATGTTAATGATTAATTTTGAAAATCGGTATAACGTTAATGGTTAATTTGTAAATCGGTGGTTATGTTAATGGTTAATTTTGTAAACCGGTGGTTATGCTAATAGTTAATTTAGTTAATTGGTGGTTAACTTTTATTGTTCTTATTTGTGTTTTGAGAACAAGCAGTCATGTGTAGTTTGGTAGATTTTTTGCTAATTAGATTCGGATCCGTGGATCCGCATTCAGAATATTTTACGGATACAGGGTGTTAAAATATTGTAAATCCTTAGTACTGGGCACAAAGGTTCAAGTCTACCCAATAATACAGTGAGAACCAGAAAATTGAGGAATAGGATGACGACATTGAAGTACTAATAAAGTTTATTTGATGTATTTACAAAGAAAATAGTTTTAACAGTAACTTATTTAATGTGTCTGTTTACACTGCTCAATTGCCCCGTCTCATGATCATTAACTACAGTGATTATATGGAACTCTTCAAAACTGTTCCCGCATATTCATGGCTATTTATTTATTTTCGCAAATACTGAAATTTACGTAATATAGTATAAAACTCATTGAAAAATTGTCAAGACGACATTTGATAAATTCTTCCGATGTATTCGTTATTAAGGGTTTCACTGTATTTAGCTATAAATTCCTATTCCAGAGTTTTCTAGTTCTCACAGCACTGAAGTTTTTTTTAAATCAACTTGATTTTTTTATGAAATTTATTTCAGGAAGCACAGGTCCAGATCTCGTGAGAGGTTCAGTGATAGATCAAGGTACTATTTCAGCCAACGAATTAAGTATTGAGCCAATTGATTATACAGGGTGTCCCATGAAACATGACAATTTGGGAATGTTATAAATAAAATGTCTTTTTCCAATAATTGTTAAGTTGTTTGATGATACCAAAGAGAAGAATAACAAATATTGTATGGGAGTTATCAATTTATTTCAACGTACAATATATTTGAGTAAAAGATTTTTTAACAAAAATTCAAATTAAAAACTATTCACCAGCTGTCATGTTTCATGGGACACCCCGTATCTGAACAATTTTAATAATCTGAATAATTTGTAGTGGATCTGTCTAATCACTGACTAGTGTTTCAGAAGTTTTTATTTATTTTTTAACAAAACGTTTATTTTAGAGCGGAGAAGAGAAGTGAGAAATACGACAGTAAGGTAAATAATAAATTAATATTTATCAGGGACATTCAGCAAAATATTTATTTATTTTCAATATTATGCAATATAGAAGTAAATATTATGCAATATAGAAGTAAATATAATCACACATAGATGACGTTACTCTAAGCATAAAATTTTACAATGTCTACAAGATTTTTTTTTCTAATCCTATTGATTGATTAGATATTTAATCCCTGAAAACGGCGTTTTTGACCCTTTTTTTTTTTTTTTGCTCTAATCATATATTATTTAAAAAAATAATTTGTTTAGTCGTATTCTGAGAAATATAAGAAAGGTGAGAAAGCGGATAGAGACTACCATAGAAGATAGAGGAACAAAAGACAAAGAAACAAAAAACAAGAAAAATAAATTCAAAAAAATAATCGTCTTATCTACTTTCAAAATACTGCCGTTTATTTCTAGATCAGTTTACAACAGGCGTTTAAACGAAACTATTAAAACCAGAATTATTGTTTAATGAAACTGTTTTTTTTTTTGATAATTATCCTTACGTCATTGAATGTGGTAAAAGTGTATATTTCTATCCATATATTTTGACTTCAATTTTGTCATTAGAATAAATATGATATAACAAATTAAAGGTTTTTATTTCGGAGTTGAGAAGATATTATTAACACTGATTCATATGTAAATCTCCACTTGTCGTTGAAGCATTTCAGTTTTAATGAAGATGTGTCTCTAAATTTGGAAGGGGAACTTAAAATTTTACAACTTTTCCCCCGTTTCTGGGGGAAAACTTCTAACAAAGACAATTAAATATATTTGTTAAGTTTTATTCTGATTTAGGTAAATACGAAACAAAAAGAATAAATGGAAACAAATATCTTTAAATATTAGATTTATAAATAAAATAAGTTGAGTATTGTATTGTTTCAATTTCTTAAAATATGTTAAATCGGCACTTTGCCATAAGACGAATTCACCATTGTGAGTCAGGATTTTTCATATCTTTGTTATTGACAAAATAAAAAATTCTCGTAAAACTAGTTCTCACAACTCGTGTCAACATACAGTTATTTAAGGATTTCTTCCCTTGATATTAACCATCTCTGAACATTATAGAAAAGTTAATTGGGAATTAACTTCAGACCAACAAATTGACTTAGATTAGTTTCTGGATTGGGTTGATAGTTTACGGTCAGTTTCTGGATTAAGTTGATAGTTTGCTGTCAGTTCCTAGATTAGGTTGATAGTTTGCTGTCAGTTCCTGGATTAGGTTGATAGTTTGCTGTCAGTTCCTGGATTAGGTTGATAGTTTGCAGTCAGTTCCTGGACTAGATTGATAGTTTGTGGTGGTCAAGGCTTGAATCTTCTGTTCAAGAGAATATATTTTCCCAAGAACTTTATTCCATTCCTCACTCATTGTCAGATCTGAAATAGATCAAATGTCAAATCGTTAAATTGATCACGTGTCAGATCTGAAATAGATCACGTGTCAAATCGGTAAAATCATGATTTTATTTTTTATTTTTCTAAATTTATCGAAAATGATTTACCGGGTTTCCATCTTTTCTGAATGATGTCCGCTACCTAGAAAATAAACATTTATATTTATATTTTATTTTTAGATAAATCCTCCTAAATAAAGTAAATTCCTGAATAGGTCTGTGACGTAATTCCATTTATAGAGTGGCATGTCCGATTTACGATTGTCTGATTTCTACTGACGGAAAATAATGTAGGAGTTATTAGAATTAAATACTTTCAGAAAAACGATGTCGTCTTCCACTGATCAGATAAAAGTTTGAAATGTACCATGTACAATTGTAAATCGGGTATATCTCCTCTTTAAACGGAGGGTTACTTGAAATGTCCAATTTACAACGGGACCATGAATTTTGTCTTAATAAAGTTGCGGATTTCTGATTAAACGAAACAATACTTAATTAATTAGTTTGGGTTACTGCAGTACACACTTATTTTTTTATTATTAGGATTTTGAAAAACTTGAGAAAATATTTTATTCGAAAGAATATCTTATCTGTACACTACTTAAATATCAGGTTTATAGGATTCATCAAATTGGATAATTTAATGTTTTTACTTGAATAAATATTGGTTAATTCACTTTGAGAACTAAATCTAACCTGAACATTAAAAAGAAAAATATATACAAAAGCAGAAATTGGCTTGATTTATTTGTAATTTAAATTAAATTTAAAGGGAGTGTTCGCGAAAAAGAAAGGGGGTATAGGCTTAGTGCGATAAAAAAGCGCTTTTGATCGCTACTAATCTTATTTCTATCTGTTGAGTCTGTAAGGAGAAAATTGTTAAAGACGTCTCATACCGAATAACTTAGCGGCCATACAAATTCAGAAAATTGCAACATACGACTTAGACCGTAAAAATCAATTTAATTTCAAACAAATCATTCAGATATTACA